ATGGAGTCTGGTCCCTGAAAGAAATAGTCGCTCTAAGAGAAACAAGGCTCATGGCCTCGGTTATTGGCCACTTACGTAAACGTTCTAGGCTTTCTGAAACAGTAGAAAGGCCTAGAAGATTTAGAGCGTCGTGCAACTACGTACGACGATCGACTGTCGAGAATTGCACTTTTGGGACCACCCCATATCGTTACCCATTCCTGATCCGGCAGAAACAAACTTTATCAATTGTGATTTGCGATCGCCACCTTCTGACTCATCTTGAGACCGCGGCTCAATGCCAGTTTGCCTCCCGAACATTGCTCATGGCACACATCAATGTAGTTAACATGATTCCGAGTAATCCCATGTTCGGCGTCAAAGCTATCGCAATTGTAAACTCGTATCAAAAAAGCAACCTGCTTTTCTACGAATTATGGATTTATGACTTACCAGAGCTCCACCAGAAGACAAGTACGTGCTACTTGATACTTTTGACTTCTAGTCGGTCCATGGCTCATGGCGATCAAGCCAGGCCATACCTAACATGAGATCATAACTTAAAATCAGGTCGAGGGCAAGACTGCTTTTCAAGCTGTCAAAGCTTTAAACTTGATAGGATCAAAAGACATTTTCCCGTCGCAAAACAAGTGATTGTCGTGACCGTTTTTGACATCTTATATGTCTCCGCGTAGTATCTACTCCTTTGTTGAATATTATATCACAGATGTAAGTATATACCCCTTTAATCAAAGTCGGTGTACAGGAGATGAAGAAACTGCATCTCACGATTTCTTATACCAGGGCGGGTGGAACTAGGCCACTGTTAAGGGCTAGGCCTTGAGGTTGGTAAAGAACGCTTACACTTGCTACGATGAATGATGCTGCTAAGCCAGCACTACCATGACCACGCCAGCAGTAAGGAATATTGAAACTTCACGTGTTGTGGCTAGAATGACTATCACATGTCAGAGGATTGACTGAAATTGTCCGAGGGGACTCTTGTCTCTCTTGGTTACCTAAAACAGGAGTTCTTATTTGACCTGATGAGTGTATGCAATTAAGCAAATTGGTGAGAATATTGATTTGTGGATGGTGTACTGGTGACGGAGCTGGGCTCACCATCCGTCACCGTCAGGTATGAGTTCATCATTATAACCACTCACAGAGCGCTAAGTTTATTGGTGACAAGAGCTTCACCACATGTGTAGCCCCCGGACCGGGAGGAGCTGCCGATAATATTCGACCCGCTGAATTCAGTCCGGTCACACTTTGTAGCAAATCACGTATTCATTTCAGCATCGTGCGCCGGATGTGCGACGCCTTGGCCTAGCGCAAAACCAGTCAAAAACAGCCTGCCGATACCAGAGGCAGGTAAAATACACGTGAATGTGCAGTGGGAAAAAGTTTTAATCAGACGCTGTTAGCCTATTTATACATGCTATGTTATGTCCACGCTATGGCCGTATCGAAGAGGAAAGAGTTCGATTCAGACTTTGAACATACCGAAGGGAATGCGTACACATCATGTGTCAAACGCGAGATTGCTAATGCCCTCACTCTCACGAACCAGTTGGATTCAAAACGCTCTATCGGAATATATTATCAACTTCAAACTAGCATCATCTGGCCTCTTCTCTCCTCAGCACAAATCTTACAGTGGCCTATGCCTAAACAATGTATAGGTAGATCGTAAACGGCACATGTGCGTCAATCAGAGACTCATAAAACATGTGCCTAAATTAATAGCCCAAGTTGAGAAGATGAAAATAGCATTTTCCAAATATGAACCGTCTCATTCAATCTTTTCTTCTCAAAGCCAAATTAATAAACCTTAAATAAGGGTGGAACATTCGTAACTTTTAAGAAGAATCATAAGCGCATGCGATGGCCGATCGCATGGACGAAAAGCTCTTGATCTCATCACCTTCCAGCAAAACTAATAGCTCGGGAATGGAAAACTTTCGCACTGAAGAGGTTCGAGGTGCGAACTCGTTTCTTCCTGGTAGACAAAGACGACTAAATGATAGTTTTGATTACTAATATTGTAGGCTATCTATTTAAAAAGACGCGTGAGGGCAAGTGGCAAAAGCGGTGGTTTGAGACAAATGGATGCTTTCTTACGTACTACAAGGTGATAGATGATATAACGTCCTTTATCGTGTTGATAGATTTGCACTTACACTACTTTGCGGTCTTAGAAACAAGGGCAAAAGTTGCTAGCAGCTTTAAACTTACCTCAAGTTGGTGCCATTACGTTACTTCAGGAAGATCATGTTGGTGAGATAGAGTTTTGATCTTTTGAAGTCCTTAAGCATTTTCACGGACCGGATTTTGCTTGAACAGATGGACCCGGTCTCTTTACTATTGAGCTTAACGAGCGCGTATATACCATCAAGTCTCGTTCTCATGATGAGGCTGCGTTTTGGGTAGATGCACTGTTATGGCGTCAAGCTGGAGGTCTTGTGACACAGAAATCTCCTGAGATTAAGCAGAAAGCAGGCAACACCTCAGCTGTATCGACTGATCAGGTTAATGCTTCATTGACAAGTTCTCCTAACCATCGTGATGATTTGGGGACTATTAATCCGGACGACGTGGGCAAAGATGGTGCTCCTTGTGCTGCTTGCTGTGTCGTTCAATAGATAAAGTTTAGCAAGATAGTTGTGGTGACAGACTGGAACGAAAGGAAATAGCTATTTGACATGTCCTTCCAGCATTATGGGGATTAATCGGCATCAATCGTTTATTGCTGGAAGAAACGATGTATACTAAATTTGGTGAAGAGCTATCCAATTGCACCAGCTATTGTGCAAGCATTTAACCTCCGAAAGAAGCTAAATACAATTTCTTTAGCAATTTATTTTTTCATGGATCTCCACTTGATTGTTAAACTCCCAATTCTTGTAGGTAATTTGCTGGAGAAGGCTTTCGACCTAGCATATCTAACAAAAGTTCGTTGGGATCCTTTGCACCACCATGTATCATCAATTTCTTGTACAACTTTTCGCCTGCTTCGCGATTCAACGGACCTTTCGATCCGACAAAGCAGGTATGCCAAATATCTGAAGCAAATACACGTGCATACAGATAGCTGTAGTAACCAGCACCGTAACCAATGAGATGTCCAAAGCGCGTATGCCAAGACGTTCCACATACGTGAGGCACAAGCGTGCTTGAATTCTGTAATTGTTGCAACATTTGAGTGGTTGTAGGAGGAGTACACGGCAAAGGCTGCTCACCAAAGAGCTGAAGATCTAGCATTGAGTACAGACACTGCGTTTGTGTATCCATTGCTGCAAACATTCTCTTGGACGCACGCAGTCCTTGCATCATTGCAGCAGGTAACGGAGCGTCTGTTTCGTGGTGGCGAGCAAACTCGCTTACTACTTGATAATCCCATGCGAAATACTCGAACAAGTGCGACGGAGTCTCAACAAAGTCCAACATTGCACGTGTACCTGAAAGGTGCTGAAACTCAGAGTGAGACAGCAGAGAATGCATAGCATGTCCAAATTCGTGAAAGAGCGTCTCGACTTCAGCATGTGTCAATAACGACGGGCTGTCCTTACTAAAATTACAAACGAGGGCTACGATCGGTTTCTGGTATGACGTCTCACTCAGACGTTTGCCACAACGAATAGTAAAATGCGCAGCATGGTTATATTTGTTCGCTCGTGGATACAAATCGAAGTATATGTATCCTAGTATTTCACCCTTTCCAATCAAAGCAAGTTTCACCACATCCTCATGCCAACTTTCACTCGCATTGAGCATTGGTATTTGCTTCAATTCTAAGTCAAATAGTGCAGAGCACACCAAACGCAGTCCCTTTATACAGTTCTCAAGTGGAAAGTAAGCAGAGATGACACGCGAGTCGATGAGATGCATCTGAGCTTTAAGTATGCCCGTATAGTAGGGCACATCCCACATGTATAATTGATCGACAGATTGGCCTTCATGCTTTCGTTTCGCATTTAATAAAAGCTGGCGCTCTGCTTTTGCCTAAAAACAGACTTAGAACGTGAAACCAGACAGTCATTTGAATTATCAATACATCGACAAACCCACCTTCGACATAAGTTGCTTCGCAATGCCATCAATAAAATTTTTGACATCCTCTAAAGATGTTATCATACGATCACTTTGAATATGTGTCAGATTAGCTTTTAAGCCAAGAAGACATCAGACTGGATATATCGTACCTTGTTGCAAAGTGAGCGTAAGATGCAAAGCCTAAAAGCTGGGCCAGTTCATGACGTTTCTCTCGAAGCTTATCTAAAACCAAAAGATTGTCTTTTGCACAAGTATTGGCGGCAATGTACATTTTCCGTCGGATTTCTGGTGCACTGACCCATTTTAAAATTGTGTTCATGACGTGCGTATCTGTGGGAACTCGTAATGTGTCAGGACTCATCCATTTTCGTTCGCACACAGAAGTGATGCTATGAGGCAAGCCGCGAATAAATTTTGCTGGTACATCGACGTAATCTCTAGCACTCAACATGGTTGACTGAAACTGCATACTCAATTGTGTAATATCATTCTGTAGTGATATCGCTCGTTTACGATCTGATCGTGATAAATGGATACCATCGCGCTCAAACTCTTGACGCAGGAGAATACCCATTCGTCGCTGTTCTGGTGTAAAGCTATTCATTGTGATTGTATTCTCCGTCACAGATTTGAGTGACTGGTATAAATTTGTATCAGCATTTAGATTCTGAATGAAATCCGAGAGATCAGTAAAACACTCGCTCGCTGCTTGACGAAAGTTTCTGACAGTATTGTTACAATATGAGAGGTCTAAAATTATTTGATTTTCATACAAAAAGTGATAGTCGCTTACTCGTTAGGATGGACATTACGGCAAAGTTCCGCAGCGTCAATGACTGAGCAAATAGCATTGGAAATGTCGTCCAGCGTTCGTAGCGTCTGCAGTCCTGGCGGTGATTTTACTAGCTACAGTACTGATAGTTATAAATTCATTACTAGAATCGTATCTCATTCATGCTTTTGTATACCTTCTGTCGTAATTCATGACACTGCAGCTTCACGTCATGGGTGAGTGTCAGAAAGTCAGATGGAGCATGCAGATTCGGCAGTTGAAAGAGTCCTGGCTTAGCTCTAGAGTTCAAATCAACACTTGCAGCTGCTGAGACGCTTTTGAAACGAGTTGAAGTCCCTCGAACGGACAGAAGCCTCGTGTTGCGCACGAGCTGGCGTCTACGAACTACTTGCATATGCTCTATCAAGAGTGAATGTATCTATCCTACTGAGAAGAATATGCTTTATCCTGATCAAACAATTTTAATATTTCGATATTTTTTGTTTATGTAGATATTTCCAATGCTGCCAGTACATTACGAAGCTTGTCAATGACAAAGATCGGGTCGGCTTCGTAAACATAAATGCCAGTAGAACTAGCAATGATGAGTTCTGGCACGCCATCATCATTGATATCTCGCCACAAGAGACTGTAGATATATCCAAATGTTTCCAAATTCCAATGCCTCCGAGATAATCGATGCCATTTTCTTCGTGGAATTAATGAACGTGCAAGTTCAGACGGACAAGACTTTTCGCCTGTATCTGACATTGTTTCTATGTCGTTCCAGATGTTATGTGAACTGTCATGCGAACTAGGCGATGCACTGTCATTTGAATACACATCGCTTTTAACATCTTCGGTAACTTCTTCATCGATATCGGTACTCATCTTGTACGCGAGCATCACTTGACTGTCCGTTCCCAATAGTAATTCCACCTTGCCATCCTATAAAATAGTTCAAATGTTACGATCTCAATGATATAAAAGTATCATAAGCACTCACGAAATCAATATCAGCAGTAATTCCAACGAGGATTGTATCAAAGGTATCCGAGTCCATCAACACCTCATTATTCCAATCTTCGTCAGAAGTGCTATACAAATCCTCATAGACGACAGCCTGGCCAATCGCACATGTTACAAGCATGTTACAGATCCAAGTCGAAGATTCATTTTCCATTGAAAATGTTTGTTGGGGAAAGAGAGCAACAGACGTCACAGGACCATTTTGCTGCACATCTTTTGACTTATACGGTCCACCAAGGCACCCTCTGTGCATCGATCCATGGAGCACACGTACCAGACTACAATGGAATGTAACACCAGGAAACATTACATATTAGACAGTCCAAGCAGCGAAAAAAACGCACAATTTTACCCGTCAGCACAACCAAGCGCGACCCATCCTTGATCCTTCTCCGGCGTGGTAAAAACGTCCACTGTTAGGATAGTGTGCGAGAATGTCGCAAGTTCGGAAAAGTATAGAGCAAGCTGTTCATTATCCAGTCGGGTGCATACAGCCGAAGAGGTAGTTGTAGATGTGTCTCTTTCGTTCTCAATATATCCAAATGCCATGACAACGTCCGTACAACACACGATAACGCCATAAAAAATGTCTCCATTCAATCCTGCAGCCTTAACACTGAACATGCAAGCTGAAGCAGCTTCTATCTCAAACTTTCCACAGTCAACAACATTGCCGAGACAATCGTCATGATAGGACACTATTTGCAAAAAGAATGATTCTCCGACTGCGTATGCGACTGCAATTTGCGATTGGAGCATTGCGGATCGCTCAAAGACAGCACTAGCCATAATTTCCACTTCATCGTTAAGATTTGTACCGATCTCAAGCTTTTGAAGACTGTAGCCTTCGTCTCCATACCTCAACAGTGACACACATCGATCGGTTGTCACGAGCGTGTAGCTGTTAATACGAGTCAGACCTTAAGTGAAACAAAAAGAGAATTTCGTACGTACGTATGAGAAGATACAGTGTTTAGCGTATGCAGATTGGGGCTGCCATGGAGGTACGCGAAGAAGCGCCTCTGGTAGAAGTGCATTGTCGTGGATAGTCAGTCAAGTGAGGGATTCACTTAAAGAACATGAGTTAAACCCAGGATTTCCTATCACTTTCCCCCTTTACGATCCCCGAGATAAGATAATCACACCGAAAACTTCGAATTTTGCCGCCACATCGTATGGCGAAATTATCGTCTATTCCAGATAACGCATCATCGTCTTAAGGCGTACACGCAACCATCTATATGTATATATATATATCCTTTACATCATTTTGTCTTACGTTGCCTAACCGTACACTTGTTGGTGATGATAAAAAGGGTATTAAGATACAACGGCATCTTCTCCGTGTGTACAACTACTACCAAACTGCTTCACACTCCTTTTCATTTGCCCAAAACCTCCCTTTCAGCAATTCCCTGTCAGCCAGTCACTCGGTTGCTCGCCTTGTTTAGTCCCATTGCCAAAAACCTTGTTCTCGTAGCTACACACAGCGGTTACAAACTTGCAAGATATCAAAAATATAGACGTCACCCCTGCCTCGTGCCTACGCCAGGCGTTTGACTTCTCCTTCCATCTCTCACTCGTAATTGATCATGTCTTCAGGAAATAGCGGCAACGATCGTCCCGCGTCGTTGAGCAGATAGTCTATCCCGTATGACTCTGTCCATTCCATAAGCGACATTTCTCGTGTCCTTTGGTTCTGCATCTTTGACACAGCGTCCATCATCAAATTAGATTGTGAATGTCGAGGTTGCGTGTTCAGCACAGGCATTTGATCCATCTGAGTCACGTAAGGTTCTTGCATTACATTAGCAGAAGGCACCGTCATTCTGGAAACAGAAACTGGCGCATTGTCCATCTTCATGCGCTTAGGGGTGCGTTGAAGAGGTAGAGGCACTGGTGCCTGCTTGTCCTGCAAAAGACTCTTGACAAGACCTGTGAGGTCCGAAAGCTGACCCATTAGATCGGACACTTGGCCTTGAAGACTTTGAACCGACTGCTTTAGTGTCTCAACTTCCTCATGGTCAGGAGAGGCCGGCTCGGAGTACGTCTTACGACGAATTTGCGCCATAAGTTCCTGACGGCCTCGTAAAAACTTTTCATGGTAAAATTCCCACCAATTCTTGCTTTCGTCTTCTTCAGTAGAGATCACAATCTCATCTTTCTTGTGTTTACGAAAGCCATAAAAGTTCAGTTGACGCACAAAACTACTAAAGTTATTGTGCTTAAAGTAGCGAGGCAGCATCGTTTTAGCAAACTCTCGCGGGAGCTTAATAATAAACGAGGTGCCTGACTCGCTCCAGCACGCAACAGCCGTAGGTGAGCTTTCAATCATGTCATAGGTTTTTTGTAAAAAAACAGGCGCAGCTGAGGCACTCGCACGGTTGTCAAGGCCCGTGGAACTTGGTCGTTTACGCATTTTGTTGTCGCCCATTAGTACTGGATTTGATATAAAACCTTTCTTTTCTATTCTTCACAAGCAAATGCGGTTTGTTGGGAAAAGCGGAAATGAGCTTGTTCTTAGAAACTCCATCTGACCATAATGTCCTGTGCAACCACTACTTATCTTTTCAGCCAATCAAAGGGCGTATGATACAAGAGTAGATTGGACATTTGTTAACTTAAATTAGAGTCGGCCCGTCAAAGAAGCGGACCATATGGGGCCGACGAGCGGTAGGATGCGACACCAACGGTACCGTACGAGAATTATTTATAGTGGCCAGCCGTTAAGCTAAACCCCATGTAACCCTCTGATCGCTTGTTTACAGTATAATGCTGTCAGTCCTTCTTTAGCCAAACCATTTCTCTTCCGCCTTTTTCCGCATGTATTTGACCCGTAAGATCACTGCCAGATTGTACTAACAAAAATGTCATCCTTAACAAATTAAGTACACTCGAGAGGAACAGACTGGGCGGACGATGTAATTCGTCCGTCCACTTCCGTTAGCTAAGAGAGAAAATTACCATATTTTAAAACCTCACTTGATTTTAGCTCTCATATTCCAATAGTAATTGAAGTTCAAAGTGCCGTTATTATTAATATTTTTAAAATCGTTTTGACAAGGAAAACATACTAAGTAGCACAGTATTGAGTTTGAGATACAAATGTCATCCTCAATCCGGCCAAATAAATTTTCAATGCACTTGGTTTGCAATATTGGATGCTTTGGATCGGGTCCAGATCTCAGTGTTTCCAAACGCGTTTACACCGCTACTCCTTGTCTAAGGCCGAAAATTTGTCCCTTGTGTAATTGTACCTCTAGATGGGGATCATAAATTCAAATTCTATACGTACTCGGATCTCTTGAAAAAAGTCATACGAATCAGTAAGCGACTAACCAGCATGAGCGAATGTGTATATTTGCGCGTATTTAGTGTGTGAAAGGTAGAACTCTCGCTACATGCTTCGGGCACTTTCGCCATCCTGCCGATTCGGGTAGAGCCATGGTAGTTTACTTGTATGAATTGTACTTTTAGTCCTCCTGAGGACGTTTCCGGCAACACCGAGTAGACTACATGAGAGACAGATGACTTCTCGATGCCGTCAGCAATGCTGTTACCAGTGAAGATATAGCTAACCTGCTTCTAGAGGATCTTTAATACTGCTTGCCTGTTGTAGTTGTTCTGGAAGGCACCCGCTCTTTATAGCACAATTCGGCGAACTTTATACAAGATGCTCGGCACAAGATTTAATATGTCATCAACGGACTAATGGTAAGGAGACCGCGGTTTATCGCGTGGTGATAGGTGATCATGCGAGGAGCGGTCGCAGTTCTGATTGGAAATGCTTCCTCGCACGGATCTTGCGCCGGAAAACTCCTGCAGCTTGACACCATGTTTGATAAATGGTTAGCTATCCCATGTCTCCTAGACTGTGCCTTAAAGCGTTAAACGATCATGACAGTCGTTACTACTCACGATTTTCTGATGTCATCTTGGTTGCACTTTGTAAGAAAAACGATCATTCGTCTCCAAGAGATTGGATAAACGTGTGATAACATGACTGAAAGTCATGTTTAACTACAATTGATATACCTATGCATGCAGTATCTGCAGTCGTTAAGTCGATGCGTGTTCACACTAAATCCGACAGATTTCTGTGAGGGCATTGCGCGCGTTCGAAGGCCACTCTCGCTAAGTTGCGTTCCGCCGAATCTACTCAATGAGCGAGGGCAAAGTCGCTACAAATTGTGAAACTGCGTGTTTGCTGGGGGTATGACCACTGCTTAGTGAGGTGAAAGATCTATCGCAAATTCTTAATGTTTGAGGTGCCACTTTGGCTAGATTGCTCAAATATCTCTGTCTCTTTTGAGTCGGCACACTCTCGGTTTTTATCTAGGGTCGTGCAGTCCAACGTGCTTTCCGTTAGCGAGTGAGGTCCGGACTTAATCTGAGTACGAGACCTGGAAGGCGACTGGTAGAGCGAACTCATGGGCGGAAGAGGCTGTCGTCTTCACAAAATAATGGTAAAGGCATGTGCCCGCCTTAGCACGTCGACGTAGCACATCAAATTCAAAGGGCGACCATTTAGCGACTTTTTAGTCTGACAAATGAATCCTTGTAATCGGGTTGAAAAGTCTCATAATGGCTGAGGTGATGAGTCGTCGCCATCCACTTCTCATATTGAGCCATTTAATCTCCCGTATAGCAGTATCAAAAGCACAGCCCTCATAGAGAGAACAGGCTGACATTGTCGCTGCTGATCCAGCCGTTGTAAATATTCCTGGGCTTTACTACAGAGTAAATTTTGCGTACGGATTTTACTCTCAGACTGCACCTCAGGGCTTCACACAAAGCTAGTGTTCATGGTACGATAGGCGGTATTTGATGAATCAATTCGATCGAAAATAAACATCAAGACGGCTTGTAGACCTGCGCGTCATTTTTGAATATTACTTCAAATCTTGCGCTAGTTGCCGAGCAAATTCCGTTAGTTGAGCTAGGTCCAGCTCATTTGTAATATGTCGAGCTTCATCGTCGACCAAGTGGCGGCGCAGCTTTATGCCCTTTGCTTCAAAAAGGGCTAAAGAGAGCGCAAGCAAACGTGAGCGTGATCATTGTGGACATTTAAGTGTCAAATATGCTTCAAGTTGCGGAGAACAGCTCAGCAGTGTATCTTATGAATAAGGCTCAGGTACTTAGCAAACCACTATGTCTATTTTCATTAGAGGACAACTTTTTCACTCGACATAGCGTCTATGGCGTCGGCCATAGAGTTTACGCACTTCTTGATGGCGTATAGTAACGCATTTATCAGGAGGAAGATATAATAAGCCTTCCGATGCCGTTGGTGCCCGCAGAGCTTGCATGTTGTCGTTGGATTATGTCACAATATTTGGCGTTCGTGTATCGTAAGAGTTCATGGTATGAGCAGTGTGTTATAGTGCTCGTACACATTACACTTTTGTGTTTTGGACTGACAGCGAAGATCATATGTACGTGATGAAAAAATATCATGAGATGCCATTAGCAACGCTAGGCACTAGACTAGAATTATGCAACATCTAATATACAAATCCGTAAGATACGTGGGCTACTTTGTCACACAATGCGTTCGCCAAATGTTGTTATTTTTGTAGAAAGACGTATGCTTTAGGATCACCCTAAGCCAGCTCTAAAGGCACTGGGTCCCTAAGAGGATTTGATTTTCGGGTCCTAGATACAGCCTTTGGTTTTTTTACTGTGTGCTCTTAAAAGCGGACTCTATGAGTCAAAGATTCATTTGCTTGATGTGCATCGGCAGCTCCGTTGCAGATGCCATCTAATGGCAAATCGCCCATCGTCTTGGTGAGTGTTTCTGCATCTACCGGACTGCAGCTTGACTTTAGGGGGAATTCGTAAAACTGCACCAAGCATTTAGTACTTGTATTGAACCTGGGTTATATCACACTGCCGATTGCTCATTTGTAGCAAGACGCTATGCTGCACCCCACTGAAGGAGGTGTAAGGAATTTTTGTGAGCAAACGCTCGCGTCTTACTGTCCTGAGTAGCATAACCCAAAGATAAGGAATAATCAAAGTTATACATAAGTTTGGGCTATCTCATCGTTTGCCCTGCAAATTTCTGAACATGGCACCCTCACTCTTTAATTTTGCGTAAAGCTATACTGCAAAGTCCTAAGCAGATAGAATATAACATAAAATGATGATCATCAAAGTTTAACTACTTCTCGCTTATGTGTACTTCATACACCGGTGCGCCAATTTTTTGGGGCACACGACGGAGCTCAGCTACACCATCGTCATTTAGTATTTACGCATCATCTAATCAAAGTATACTATTTCCCTTCCGTTGACTTGATGGCACGCTTGCAATTCTAGCTTTCACGCCGCGCAGTGCGCAGGTCTCAGAGCTTCGAGCCTAACATAGCAAAATGCTCGTTTTATTATGCCAATGAGCTCTTTCAAGAGTTAAGCACCAAGCCATTGATCTTCACAGTTTGGTCCGAGGTCACGACGTCGAAAATGCTTGTCGGTGGTGCTGCCCAAACATCACACGGCGCGGCTGCTGCGAGCTGCGTTGTGAGTGCCCTCACACAATTCTTTAGGGCCTTCGGCTCGAAAAGGCGTCGATCTAAGCGAGGATACAAAATTCCCATCGCCAGTTACCGGAATTGCGTCCTCGAGAATCGACGCCGAGAAAGAGACGCCTACATCCAAGAGTCATGCACCGCCCCACACGATACTGTAAGAGCCGCCACTATATTGAAGGCCTCGACATAAGTGCCACACATGCCTCAGCTGGTTTGGGAGCTAAAAGCTTTAGAGCGCAAACCCAGTTCAAGTTTATCGATCTTTCGAACCGCGTCCACGCAAACACTTCTACAGCCGAGGAACGCTCCACATAGGGAAGTGACCAAAAGCGCTTGGCTTCAGAGCTCATTTGAGATTTTTTAAATCATGGTGCCCCATTTACCTTCATGCCCAGGAAATATCATGCAATTTTCCTTCCCAGAACAGTTAGGTGCAGTACCAGCTGCTGTGTCATTGGCAACGCTTTCTGAGGTTGCATCGCCACCACTAATGGATGTGACGACTCCACCACACAGTACTTTTCATTTTCATTCCAAACAATCATACAGGGTCGTGATATCCACGCTAACGTCAGCGCCTCGCGTGGATAAGCCAGTGGTCATATACCCCGTGGTCATCTCGATCGAAAAGACCTCTGTTCCACCAGATCGTTGGAGTCTCTCGGTGCTCGTCATTTTCACCCCATCATTTATTGCAAAATACAGAAGGCAAGAGTAGACTGAGTTTGTCGGATAAGGGTGCCATTGAGTGATACCCCAAACCCTCACGCCTGGGCTTAAACCACGATCGTTTTTGAAATTATGCCTGACTCTGGGACCTCACACGACAGAAATTTGATCCGCGGCGGGGGCGAAACCTGATTCCTTGATCGGCGCAGTGAATTTGCGAGCGAACTTCTCTCGGATGTGTACGTAATTATATCTAAAGTGTGGGCATATGGTATTCAGTGCCCCAGAGTATGGCTTAAAGCCGCGTGCTACTTTCCAGGCGCATCGCTTTTACTGTTGGGCTGTCTAAGCTTACGAGACACCTGAAATTTTCGAAGGCAGAGATCAAAACTCTTCGTGTTCTGGATTACTTCATAGCACAGGTTGTGTTTGACTCGTATGCACCATCGGTTTATGGTGTCTCCATTGTGACATAAAAATAGATTATATCGGGACGGCACTACAGTGCATCCAGCACCACATTATACAAAGTAGGCTAGTACTTTACCTCATGTTTTCAATAAAAAAACTCAGCATCTTGCCATGTCTGAGAGAGTCGGGATTAAGGTGTGGTCGCGTGTAATGGTGAATGACGATATAGATCACAAAAGGCTTTGAGGCGGTCAGGCGTACACTGACCTTGCTATGAGCATATACCAGATACTTTATAATCTGCAGTAGAAAGCTGGCGAGACTGAAACGCAATAATGCGCTCACACCCGCGAACATCAACCTGAAAGCAAACATTGTTTTATATAAATGCCGGAGCTTCAATTCGAATCTTGATGGGCCAGAATACTAGCGCACAAACACGACACAAAGTATTTGAAGAAGATTGGTGAGGCGCCCTACCATATCAGCATAGTATATACTTGACTCGTGTTGGCAGTTGGGCAATCAAGACACTTTTGTGATCCCTATGGGATATGATGCTGGCCAATCAATTATAGCTTTACTCGTTGCGAGGTGTACCCAAATGCCATTGTTTCAATGCAGAATCTCAGAAGTGGGATGTGATCAGCTCCATCAACACTCTCACGATCACCTTAACACTAGGCACACAAGTACATAATCTGAATGTCTGTATCCGTATTCCCGTACTTTGAACTATGTAATTTAGGCGTAGGTCTGTGCATGAGCTCACCGGAGCTGCGGCTGCAATTACCTTAATAATGGCATTAAGAATTCTTGCTGTTAGCATTTCTGACATAAAACGACTACGCTGAGTAAGAAGATACTCTCTCTCTCACCAAAACCATTTCATGCAATGTACAAATAATTGAGTTTATGGAGTAGCAATGTTGTCCGTGTAAAGACAGTTTAGATGTAGCGCACTATTTTTTCACTAACAAGGTTGAATCATGGCAAATTCACAAATTCGAGGGTTACATCAGCGGGGGATCTTCTGAAAAATAACCTTAAACAAAGGTTAAATCGGACTCAATGAGAGTTGCTTATTCCCCCCACACTCAGTGCTATTTGATCATCCTCCTTGATCAATAATGAGTCCAGCTCCGTCCCCATTACTATCAGCACCATCTCATTGATCTCATCGTTTTGTTAATCTTGCATACATTGATCGCACATCATATGAGATATCTAAAGAGCTTGTATCAAATATTGAGACTGATTTGCTACCCACTTCATTCACAAGTGTGCACAGCTGTAATTGACACATCCGTAAACCTAAATGTATTTGTACAGTATCAACATTACTCGGTGTTGCTAACTCAGGCTTGTCCTGGGGTCTGGGGCCCGCGGCCTAAAACCATTTCGATTTGTCTCAATAGAAACGCACCATGGCTGATTCAACATGAAGTCTCTCTTTTCGAATACAAAGAGGTAATATTTGGTTCACCAACTCAAACAACTGTCCATGTTTGTCTAGAAAGAGATGAGATCGCGACATGCGTTTGCTTACACTCAGTTGGACTGGATTGACTAAAGCTCACATCCACCCTTGTCGACCAAACTCCGGGCAATAATCGCTGCTTATTTTCTTGGCCCATTTAATAACTCACCAAAGATCAACTGCGGCTTCCAGTCGATCTGTGGCTCATGTCGCTCCAGCGAGATCATATTTTTATATCAAATTATATCTCGTATTCCTATTCTCTAAATTGAAATTTTAAAGACCCTTCACTGCCTTGTTGCGCGACGAACGAATACGACATTCACAACGCATCCGCATCTTCTCTACTGTTTCAACAGTCGCGCACTGCACGTTTATCTACAGAGTCTTACAACTTACAGGAATTCCAACGGCATTAAGAAGCCCGTAACATTGATATTTGCCAGGGCTGCAAGTCTCACCTTTCGTTTGCTACTTTCATGGCCGAGTTCTATCGACTACAGTCTCCATGAGGTACAATATAATCAATTCTTACACAATAATTCGAAGTTTCCCGCGATGGGACAAACAAAGAAGGGGACAAACAGTGCGTACACGTTTGACGCTAGCAAGTGTGGCACCTACGGACACCACCATTCTGTTCAACTCCAGGAGTATTCTAGCCACTCTCAGTCGTTGCCTCTGGTGCTCTCATAAAACACCCATCTTAATCAACTCTTGCGGATCAATAGTTATGCTCTGCATTGAATGTAACTTTGCCTGCTTCCACGAAAAAGGTCGAATGCATGGGGAGGATCTCGGTTCAAATCACAAATGTATCCAATTCCAGAAAAGGGTAAGCTGACATCCCAGGTGAAAGGGTTCTAGCTGTTAAACGTAGTTCAACACTTAATTTGCATATTCCGAGTAAATCGGAAATTGGGCCGCTCGCATCAAGCCCGATTAGGCTCGCGTCACCTGCTGTTCAAATACCTCGGATGTTACGAATGCTCCATTATTGTGTAACCGAACATTGCTTATTCTCGCGCGCGACCTCTAGTTTGAAGTTTGCTAGCGGTAAGCGCATTTCTCATAACGGATCAGGGCTGACTCCATGTCCATATCTTCATATTGTCTCTTGAAGAATATCGCCTAGCACGAGTGTTCCGCTCTTTAGAGCTCCGTAGAAGCCGATGATGCATTCACAGACGTCTGATTGCGACTTTCACGGAAACCCACTGCTGCATTCTTGTTATCGATGACCGTCCTAAAGTAAGTTGTGGGGCTTTGATCGACCATTTACACAACCCTCTTAGGACCATTCAAACACAGAATGTTATGCAGCGTGTGGTTTAGACCAGGAAGTTTTACATTGCTATCCCGACGGAAGATACGATCTTATTATTTCTATATCACCAAATTGACTAACACGTGCAACAGGGATGCCGTGCACATTGCACAGAGCAAGCTTCGACACGTACAGTCTGCGCTCCGAATGCACATAGGTTTCGTTTCGAGTTCATCTCTCAAATGTGCAGTCCCGACATTCTCTTTGCACCTTGTACCTTTCACCTGCTTAAATTAAAAGTGCTGTGTTTATAGTAAGAGTATTTTCGTTTTACTCCATAACAAAAGACTTTCAGCGCATTGCGTGAGTAAAACAACCCACGTGCACCACAGAAATATCGTTAAAATACCTTTTTACCAATCTCTCATCAAATCTACTTCATCATGATGTAAAATTCCGAAACCATAACGGAGATTGGAATTTCATTAATGTTATGGAAACCAGCCCTAGTACGTCGAAAAAGGTGAGCTACACGAAGTAGCTAAACGTGGATTTTTTTTAGGGCTGTTTTATGTTAAGGCTACCTTGAATTATAGTAGCTAAGTTATCTATCATACTTTCTATGACCAGTTTAAAACAGCAGTTCTCTCACGCTACGAGTGACCGTAAACAGCTTAGAATCAGCTTGTTGTAGATCTTAAGATATACAGTAAGCATAGCAAAAATCCAGTTGCAACCCTGTATAACTCCCATAATATCATTGAAAATGAATTTCTGATACCGCAGAAACGACTACAGAAATACCCGAGTCATTTCTAGAGAAGGCACATTTCATAAGTTTGAGTGATGACAATAGCTCATATAAGCCGCAAGCTACTTGCAAGAAGTCACTGATCCTGTTGGCTTAAGCATTAGAAGCTACGCCGCATTAAAAAAAAAGGTGCCTTGAACAATCTTCTTTCGTACTTTTTGCCTAGGTACTTTATCGAAAAATACTGGCATAGCAGTGTTTCCGAAAATATGTTTTCTCACATTGAAGCGCTTAGAGTGGGACTGCAGCTCGTTTATCATACGCCTCGCTGCTCTCAAATCCACAAATTGATCGAGAAAGAATGGCTGTAAATATGAAGGTGTATTATTCGGCCTGGACACAGAACACGACGACACGCATTTACCGGTGTAAATAGTTGCTTCGCGTTGGCACTACAGACCTTCACATCAAAGCTAACTAATCGTACCTCACCAACACTAGCTAGTCATCCTTCGTTTCGCACATGATATATTTGTAATGCGTTTACTTGACTTGGACAGGGATTCAGGATGTGATCACCGAGCAAAAGAGTCACTTCGCTCACCACCAATCCTCTTTCAATAAGGGTCGAAATGATATAAGTCAATTGCTGCTTATAACCTCTATCTCAACGACAAGCCCTTGCTACAAAGAGAAGTCAGTATTCCGCGCACGGTTGTCTTAAAGCGCGACGGTCTGGACAATAGCTGTGGTAGTGTTCCAAAAGTTTGCGTTGCCTGTATTAGCAGATACTGATTTATATCTTAAGAAAACTTTAGTAAATTTTATTACTATACATAGAACGAGCTAACGACCGCTTGTTCCATATGTTCGCGGATCCCGTCCACTTTTCGAACTGCACTGTGATGAGTGCAAATATAGTTGGAATATTATCATGCCGTTAAGGTAGGATTTGGATTACCGCTGTTCAAGTCCCAACGGCGACGATGACGGGCAAACTATAGTCGGTTTCAGTACATTCGCTTATCGGATCAGATATACACAAGTGTTAGGTTAAATGGTGGGTGGTCTTAACGATCGTACGAACAAAACACAAACTGTGGGTGGCATCAACAAACTTTTGGCAATGTAGTTTATTTGTTTAAAACTCGCAGCAAGTGCTTGCTGCACATGTGGGGTATGATGTCAAGACGACAACAAAACGCATAAAACCAAAACTATTTTTTATATTACGTTTAATCGAGGATTTGACGGTGAAGCCACATGGTACGATAGAGTTAGGGTTATTCAATTGTTTTTCTATATTTTTGTAAGATAAAAAAAAATGTACTTACGCATTGGGTGCATGGAGCAGAAGAGTGAAAAACCAGCCACACAGCTTTTTTACAAAGATAATGCAGTCACTTATTGATTTAACGAACAGCAAACCACTGGCACCGATTGCTAACAGCTTCCATCTTACCGGTGAGTATCCCTACCCCTTTACTAGAGTACCCCTAGACTCGATTGAGTGTATTGCGAAGCAGAACAGTATTTCTGTACTGGCTTGCTTTTAATACCCTCTCTTTATTCTCTATTTGTATAGTATGAAAACTTATAATAAATCCTAACTTACAATATTTACTATACACTTGGTATGAATTTTCGGATGAGTGCGACGATCGGGTAGTACTCATCTGATACAACTTTAGTGCATCACCGCCTCTGAATCACATCTGCAGACCTGGTTATAAATTTAGTTTACTCGTTTATTTTCACCTTGCGTGTCGCGCATCTCTTCACTACCTTTCCTTGCTCCTATTTTTTATATCTACTTCATATGCGTACCAACTTGAGAAATTGGGATCCCGGGATGTCCATCGTTGTTTGTTCTCAAAGTTACCTATTGATATGCATCGCAAGAACTTCCGACATTAAATTCGACTTTGTTTTCCAATAGGCCGACGAAAAATCACGAATATCGTCAGTAAGAGATTGAAATAAAGTTGACGATGTATGTGGCTGGTGTATCCATCGACTACAAGCACCTTGGTCTTAGAAGGATGCACTTACTTTTTGAAGTATCAAGTGAGCTTAATGGATCGAGGAATATTTCTGAACCATATTCTCCGACTCTAGTATAGACCGTATATTATTCAAACGAGCAAACATATAATGCGAAGTGGGATGACTACCTTGGAGCCAAGTCCTTTGATGAGCGACTGTGGCTTGTGCATGATGATTAGACGTGTATGACTCCGCAGCATCCGTAGCTTGCGTCTGCTTGAGCATAAAGTAGCGCATTTCAATACAAAAGGTGTATAGGTTGATTTTACCTGAAAAATATCACGTGTCATTAAGTGAGAACGAACTAGAAAGGATTGCTGCTAGCTGTTATTCTGTCGCATACAAGCAATGAAAGATGATTAGGATATCATCATGGAGGTATTAGAACTTCCCATATCAAAGTCGTTCGAATTGATATAGTCTTCAAATTGACGAGAGGGAGCTGACGACACCAACTAATCAATAGACCGACCAATCGGTTGAGAGATGGTACTGACATCGTTTAATGTTGTTGGGCTTAGGCATCGGGCTGTGATCTAGACCGAGCCAAATTGTGATGATTCATCACTGAACTGATTGGTGCGCCGATCACCTTGATAGGCATCGTCGAAGACTGATTGACAACTCGGTGTTTATTTGGTGATATGAGGTCTAACCAACAGAACTTTTCCCAAACGCACATTTGACATGTCAATTAGAAGGAAGCACACTTAAACACAGACAGTTTTTAATAAACTATCAGCTTGGTTTGAAAAAGACTCAATAAGTGCTGATTTTTCTGTGAGAAATTCGCGAAGTTGGCCAAGCATGCAAGGATTTACGATCTTCTATATCATCGACTTCCAATTACTTGAATCCTCGCAGTAACTGGACATTGTGATTGATAATCACATATGTATAAATACTGATGTGTGTAGACGAATCGTGTTCCATGCGTCCATCTGGCAGCCTTAATCCAAACTCTATCCGTCTCGGAGCTTGTAGGCTTGTTCCACACCAATTTCAGTTGATGATTGAGCAATCTCACTACAACTTTCTGTCCACAAAAGGCATACTCATTTGGAAGTATCTACTTAAAGAAGCTAGTCATCGAAAACTCGAGCGCCAACCGCGACATAAGCCCCTCTCTTTAAAATAGCGCTAAGGCAAAACTCCAGCTAAAAATTGTGAGCGCAATTTCTTCGTCGACCTGGGGACGGGTCCAATTACGTTCAACCGAACAGACCCATAAAATATGACCAATTCTCTAGTTTCTGGTGCTGTACTCACCGCGACAGTTCCATTAAGAACCCGCGATTGCTATCCAATTGATTTATTTTAATCAAATAGATCTATGCGCTAGGATTCAATTTCACAGCGCTCGCATTACTTCACATGGAGTTACGCGATTCATATGCATTCACGCGCTTTTGATAACTCTCGGGTAAGCATGGCCAGCATCTATCTGTGCATGTATTAATCGAACGAGATTTCCATACAAAACATTCACACCCTCAGCATGACTGAAATTAACGTGAGAGTCTCTTTACATGTTTAAAGACAGTCGAGCATCAATCTGATCCCAAAAATGGCGAAGAATTAAGTCGTGACAACTGAGGAAATGACCGAGAAGACCGAGGTGACGAAAAGACGGAAGTGACCACCGAAGTAGTGAGGTCAGAAAAAACGAGTGCGCTACCGCGTTGAAAGTCGCGCAAGGCGATAGTGATCATCTGTTGGGTGGTACGTGGTTGTGAACGCTGCAAAAATATGGTGTGATCTCGGAACGGGCAATGATAAGCTCCAAAGTAACAATGGACTCGTATGTGAGACATCAACTCAGATTGAGCTCGAGATGGGATCCACAAACATTTTCTCCAAGCAAATTGGCAAATGGTTGCCTCTTGCTCTGTTCTTTTATAAGCTTGTCGAAGCCCCAGCTTCGTTAGTTTATCAATCAATGCATGACAGACATCTATAGTGTTTTAATTTATACTTGATTTTTCTACATTTTAGCGATCGTGTAGGTTTGTAAAATGTGAACTCTATCTAAATGAGGAAATGATCACCAGAAGAAAGACAAAAGTTTCTGGTCTACTTAACTTTTCTTCATCAAATTGTTCAATTGTGGATCATGTTAAACGTAAGAAGATGAGCGAGTAGTCTAGCTAAAACGCATCGCGTGGCTGACTTACCAGCGCAACCGCGGCTTCTTTCTGCTCAAGGCAATGATTCTGCTCTCTCGAGCTTGAACTTTCCAGAAATTGGAATTTGGTAGCTTGTACATGTTGTGGGTCACACAAGATGGTGTGGTCAAGCATGACGGTGTGACCACACAATTGTGTGTCTACACTTAAACAACAAATCAGTTCGTAGCTGTATTTATACATTTAATTAAGTTTTCACAGATAGGAAAACGTATGGATTCAGATATAAGCGGCTTTGCCGCAAAAATGGAAGAATTAATTAGCCTTGGGTTAAGGTCGTAGTTACTCTTGGAGTCAGCGGATTGCGACCCGCTACACTCATACTAATTCTAAGTATAGAACGAAGGTCAATGACCTAAGCGAAAAGCTCCATTAAGATTGAGAACACTTACAGTTCCAATCGATTATTGCCACAACGGGGCTTGCGTGTCCGTTAGACACTGTGTTGGAACGAAACGACTTCCGTGCTGAATGAGCCTTGCGTCCATGACACCGAAGTCTCCAAGTCTCGCTGCTTTCGACAGCGCTCACGGGCAGATCCCGCTTTATCTCCCACACACGGTGCCATGTCAGACCGTGTCTCCGCGGCATCGAGGGATGTAAATCCTAGGCTCGATGAGCCCGAGCGTC